AACATGCATGTAATGAATACAAATGTACAGTCCAATTATTAACTTAACACGTTTTATAGATGAGATGAAACACATATTTTAATTTGGTATCATACCTAACTCCATTCCAAACGTTGCTTATAAAAAGAGACTAGGTCCACATATTGCTTAAAACCCGTCAAAAGTAATCGACTCATACACATGAAGGGGCGTGTTGAACATATAATATATAAACATAAATGTGCAGTCCAACTATCAAGTTAAATGTTAAGATGGAGCGCATGTTTCAATTAGCCTTCTTTGTTAAATGTGAACTGATATAAATTTAAATTGAGAACCAACTGTATCAAATAAATGAAAACAAAAAAAAAAAGAAAAAAGAATGAAAGTCAATGATGTAATGAGGCAAAATTAAAAAAATATAATTAAAGAGTTAATTCCATTTTTAGTCCTAGATTTATAGGTGACAATACACTTTTAGACCTTTTCTTTCAAAATATCCACTTTTGATCCTAGTATTATTGTGACATGACCATTTTTTGTCCTCCATCAACAAAACAACTTAAATTTCGCCAAATACAAGACCATTTTAATCTTCAATTTTGATTTTTTTTTTCAAAAAAATAAACATAGAAAATATAGCGAGTCAACCTACTTTGTATAAAAATGATCGAAATGTCTTTGTATTTAACGGCATTTCAATGATTTTCTTGCCGGAGGACCAAAAATGGTCATGAATAATACTAGGACGAGGATGTTACGATAAAAAACGATTAAAAGTGGACTGTCACCTATAAATCTAGGATAAAAAATGGAATTAACTCTATAATTAAATGTGTCAATTTTGCAATAGTTGATGACTAAAAGTAAAATTTGTTATAATATTAAGGAATAAGGGTCAAACCACTCAACTGCACATTAAAGTGCAATTAGGCCATTGAACTAAAAAAGAATGCAATTAAGCCATTGAACAACACAAAAATATGTAATTTAGCCCAAAATGACCTGTTTACCTGATGTAGCAAGTTACCGATTTTAAAAATAAATTTTTAAAATAATTTATAATAATTAATTAATTAAAATACAAAAAAAAAAAAAAAAACAGAAACTGCCGGTTGGAGACGATCCGTCTCCTGCCATGGAGACAAAGACCTTCGTCTCCATGGCTATGGGTTTCGTCTCCTGGCGATAGAGACGAAGGTCCCCTTCGTCTCCGGCAATGGAGACGAAGGTCTTTGTCTCCATGGCTGGAGACGGAAGTTTGTCTCTGGCCATGGAGACGAAGCTGGCCAGAGACGATTCGTCTCCGGCCGGCAGTTTCTAATTTTTATTTTTTTTTTGTATTCTAATTAATTAATTATTATAAAAAATTTTAAAAATCGGTAACTTGTTATATCAGGTAAACAAGTCATTTTGGATTAAATTGCATGTTTTGTGTTATTCAATGGCTTAATTGCATTCTTTTTTAGTTCAATGGTTTAATTGCACTTTGATGTGCAATTGAGTGGCCTATTTGACCTTTATTCCTAATATTAAAGGAATAATCTCAACAATCAGGTATTAATTGTATCTTTATTATTTTGAGAAAAAATAACATATTTTATCAATATGCTTAAAATAAAATACAGGTGGTAGGTTTGCATGATTTAATTTGAAAGCACTATGCATGTGATTGTAATGTTTATGTTGACTATGCGTGACACGGATTGAGATGGAGATGCAGAGTATTAATGAGAAACTCGTAGATCCCATAAACAATATTAAATTCATCAATATTTAAGACAAGCTTCAAAAAGTTTTGGATCAATGATCTTGTGAACTTGGTTCAATTTTATTTTTTTTTCAAGTGAGAAATTTGTTGTTTGATTCCTGAGTGAATTATAAAATAATAGCATATTTAATACTTACATTATACACAACGCTACTTTTAGTCATTGAATTGTCAACGAAGTGAAATTTTTTATCCATTCATAGTAGACGTGTCAAAAAAATTTATTACTTCTCAAAAATCTTTATTCACCGGAACTACTGCTGAAAGTTTAACTCATGTTTATTTTGATTAAATAGCAGTCCAAGTCTCCAATTCCAGTCGTTAGTGACATAAACCACATACCATTTACCCCCATTACGTTGATTTTTTTTCCCCCCATTTTCTATTATATATAGGGTAATAAACGTTAATGGTATACATTTTTGTGTTTGTAGTTACTAAATTCTTCTCCCAAAAAGTTAAAATCTTCAACTCCCATGGTCCTCCAAATTCTGGCCTGACAGAATATTTGTAAATCAGGGTAACTCAATGACTTAGCAGATGAGGCCAAATGCCGGTGTGCACAAAGGTTTTGTTCACTTTGGACATAATCCCCACAATGTCACTGTCGAGTTGTTGGATAATTTGCACTAGCAATCACGTAGGCGAACCTCACTATTGCTCAGACTTTTAATAGGCAGACACGAAATTATATATATATATATATATATATATATATATATATATATATAGGAATGGATTCTATTCGTCCACGTGTCCAGATCTAATGGATGAGAAACACTTTAAAAAAAAAAAAAGCGTGGTGGCATTTTCGTAAATAATTGAACATCGAAGTGCAAGTAAAATGTAATACAAGTGCATGTAAAATGTATTATAGGTGCAAGTAAAAATTTACACTGAGCATCAATACTAAGTGCACTTATAGTTCTAAGTAGTTGCACAGATAGTTATAAGTATTTGCACCTTAAGTGCATGAATGTTTGCGGGTGATTTTCAGGGATATTACTACCCGCTGAACTCAGATCAATGAATGTTAACAAGGCAAAATTACATGCACTTATATGTGAAAGTAGGTGCACCTATAGTTAAAAGTAGTTCCACCTATAGTTATAAGTAGTTGCACCTATAGTTATAAGTAGGTGCACCCAGGTGCATGAATGTTTGCGGGAAGTGAATGTTAACAAGACAAAATTACATGCGCTTATAGGTGAAAGTAGGTGCACTTGTAAGTGATTTTACTTGCACTTCGATGTTCAATTATTTACGAAAATATCACCGCGCTTTTTTAAGCTATTAGATCTGGACACGTGTCGCGTGCTGATTCGTTCGCATATTCCTTCTTGTGCACTTATTCGCACCTGAGTGCATCCCTATATATATATATATATATATATATATATATATATATATATATATATATATATATATATATATATATATATATATATATATATGTTCAATTATTTACGAAAATATCATCGCGCTTTTTTAAGCTATTAGATCTGGACACGTGTCGCGTGCTGATTCGTTCGCATATTCCTTCTTGTGCACTTATTCGCACCTGAGTGCATCCCTATATATATATATATATATATATATATATATATATGTATATATATATATATATGTATATATACATATACATATATATATATATATATATATATATATATATATATATATATATATATATATATATATATATATATATATATATATATATATATATATATATATATATATATATATATATATATATATATTTTGATGGTTTTTTTCGATACCGGATCCACCATAAATCGGGTACAAAGAATATAGAACGGAATACACGACTGGTACGTTTATCACCGAGGGCGTGAGGCCCAATTGATATGCGTAAAAAGCCCAACAACACCAACCCAAAAAATGAGAGCCCAAAGAATAAATAACTAAATATTCAAAAGACTAGGGAATAAATATAATAAAGTAAAGGAATGAGGGACCAATATGTAAATATACTAATGAAAACCTAATTACATTACTAACGAGATTCGAACCTAGGCACACCGGTAAAGAGGGAGGAGATCAGACCACTATACCAAGACTGCAAATGATGCATGGGGGATGCCCTTAGACAGACCAGACCCCCCTTAGCTAGCAGATGATACTGCACCCTCCATTAGTACGGCATCCTAGGAATATCGCCTTCTACCCGAAACGCGTCCCACGTCACCTGTCGTGCGACTGCATCAACCCTCCCTCCACTAATCAAGTGCCGCGTACCGAAGACACTTCCACGAACGCCCCATAGAAAAAGGAGAGCACCGCGCGCGCCCTTGTCAAGGCGCGATAGGCGACCGCGCCCCGATGGGGCTCGGTGCCATGTCATGCCCATGGGGTGCCTGGCGGCGCAACCAGCCGCCACCTAGGGCGACTGGCCCACCCGTGGCGCCACGGCCCCGAGCAGCGAACGCACCCACCGGCGCTACGAAAGCCGCCAGCGCCCCCCTTCTTCCCCTGGGTTCTTCGCGGACCACTCTGCTTCATAGCTTGCACCCTTGGGCCTTGCACAGTTGCACCACCCTCCCTTCTATTTTTCACCCTTCCACCACTATGCCTGGCCTCAGCCAATTAAAATATACAAGATTGAAGCTCACTTCCTCATAACCCTATCATATATATATATATATATATATGTGTGTGTGTGTGTGTGTGTGTGTGTGTGTGTGTGTGTGTGTATATATATATATATATATATATATATATATATATATATATATATATATAAGATGGTGAGAACACTTCCCCGTGTAAAAAGTCTGGACAAATCCGCACCCTCCATCATGAGAAACCAAATGCTAGGATATTATTACCATTACTAAACTTTATGTTTGAAATAGTTGCAAAATGAATATCGCTCTTAAAAGTTTTTAATAATTATATAATTGACCGTGTATTTTTTTACTAAAACCTCAACCATTGATGAACCCTGATGGTTGGCTAGGATCAGTCATCAGTTTTTACAGGAAGCCTATATCCTCATTTGGAGTTAATTACCGATTTGATCCTCGACTATGAGGATTTCACCAATTTGGTCCTTGACTACTAAAATTTCTCAATTTGGTCCTTGACTGTGCAATTTTTACTCGATTTGGTCCTCATTGTAATTTGCCGGTCAAACTTAAAGGGCAAATTGGAAATTTTAAAAAAACATCTTCTTCTTCCCTAACTCTAACTCGTTTGTTTTGTATAGCTAGCTTATCAGTCGAGAATGCAGTCCAACACAGGCGACTCGGTGGCTTCGACGCCGCAGTCGAAGCACCACCAAAACCTCGCCGATGATGGCATCTCCATGCAGCAACTGCCACGTGTCTGCTTCATGTGCAGTTTTGACGGGAAGATCCTTCCCCGGCTGCACAACAATCAGCTCCCCTACGTCGGCGGCGACACACACATAGTCGCGTTGAACCGCCATGCATCTTTCTCATCCCTCCTCATTAAGCTATCCAAGATCGCTGGCACGGCCAACGTGGTTGTGAAGTACCAACTTCCCTACGAGGACATCGACTCGTTTATTACTGTTACGATGGACGAAGAGGTGGAGAATATGATGGAGGAGTATGACCAGGTGGCGCAGAGTCACAAGTCGGCGGCGCATCTGCGACTTTTCCTTTTTCCTATCGATGTCGATTCAAGAACCAGCACAATTAACTCCATCCTCAATGGCTCGACTAAGCGCGAGCACTGGTTTGTCGACACGCATCATCTCTTCGTGAACCCATTACAAATAACAACCACTTCATGAACATTGATGTAGAGCTATAGTTGTTAGTTGAAATACAAATGATTTCTCAAGTTTTCGATTGTGCGATTAGGATTTGATATTTGGGAATTTGGAAATTCTAGAAAGAGAATGTTTTGTGTGTCTGAAATTAGGCAAAGCGTGGAGATGAAAATGGATAGCCGAGAAGGGAAATAAAGTACAATTACAACTATGTCCTCAATTTTATTGCTTTAAAAATGCTTGTTTTACTATTGGACCAAATCGGGTAAAAATGGCATAGTCAGGGACCAAATTGAGGAATTTTGATAGTCGAGGACCAAATTGGTGAAATCTTCATAGTCAATGGATCAAATCGATAATTAACTCTCCTCATTTGATCTTGTCCCTATATACATTGCAATAACGTAACATTTCTACAGTCTATTCATTCAAACCAAACAATAGAATACAATTCTCATTCTTGCCTATTTCATTTCATTACTTATGTAATAACATTCATATTCCCTTAAAATTTATTCCATGAACCAACTATGCTCTAAAAATTAAAGATATCAAAATTGTAACTTTTTAATTTTTAGCTAAAAAATATTATATATATTTAACTATTATAACTCTTCATATTCGTAAATTACACGGTATTGCAGTACACAATACAGCCAATACTACACATGCATTAAACGATCTATCCTAGGGTGGATGGATCCATGAGATAAAATCTAATCAAATTATGCAAAAGATTAAAGAATTTGTTGAAGTAGCATATGCATATCATTAACTCCAACCTGAATTTGTATACACATCATCATACTCATTAAATGCTTCCCACAAGTTAAAATGTCACATCGTCATTTCTTACAAGTTATAGCAATGTTATTAATGAATTGGATGGTTAGAGTACAAGCAAACACATGTGAAACACTCGTAATTGGGAGGATTAGTATTCTAATTATGTATTATTTTCCAACTCATTGAGCCTTGAGCCACAATAAGGTGTTTACTTTGGCAATGCGTGTTTCATATTTATTCGTGTCAAACATGTTAATGATTTTATGCCATAATCTTTATATAATAAAGCATAATTTAGCCACAAAATTTTCTCTCCAAAATATAAATGCATTTTGATAGAAACAAGATTAACAAGTATGGATGCATTAATTGTGTGGGTAGATGTATTTATACATATTTTTTTGAAGTTATTATGTGTATTTATATTGTATAAATTATATTTTATTATTATTGCTCTATCTCTATATCTATATATATATATATATATATATATATATATATATATATATATATATATATATATATATATATATATATTAAAGCATAATGAAGTATAGAAAAAAGTTTCACTACTGGAAATTATTGAATTTCCGACTACTTGAAAGTGATCTTAAATCAAGTTGAAAGCAAAAAGTGGTCGGAAATAGCAACAAGGGTTTTTCCGGATACCAAAAGTGGTCGGAATAAGGCTTTCGACTTGATTTAAGATAACTTTCAGGTGGTCGGAAATTTCAGAATTTCCAATAGTGTTTATTGTGTTCAAATTTATTGGTAAAGTTTTTATATTTAATATAATTTGTGTACATATTCATTTAAACCTCAATTATAATTAATTTGACTCCACATATATAAAGTGGAGAAATTAGATATAAAATAAATATAGTTCTTACATAAATAATCTTTTCCAAATGAATAAATTTTTGGTGGAGATTTTCGACAAATATCGCCTGTTATTTTATTTACATGTTTTAGTTAAATACGTTAGTTATATAATTAAAGTAGTTATTTCAAATTCAAATTCCTTTAAAAAAAATCAAATTCAAATAATAATACAAGTAACAATAAACTTTAAAATCAACATAATAATAGCATAATTAAACTTTTAAAAATATTAAATATTACATTGTATAGTTATACTTACATTTTTAATCAAACTAATTCTGAGCTCAACAACTTAAGTATGTTTTTCTGTTTTCACAACCATTACTTTCTTTGCTAATTAAAAGGATGTCAAAAATTTAATTGGTAAATTTGATAAATTAATAATAGTCCATGCATCGCACGAAACAATTACTAGTAATAAGACTAAACCAAAACCCATTATTTTTACATCATGTTTTATGATGTATAACTGTATCGTGTCAAAAAATTGTCTTGTTTAGTATGTATGGTACATCCAATTTTGATTATAAGTTAGCAATTGTTATGCCATAGACTGGGTTCATTTTACATTGTAGATACTGGACCAAAATAACATTCATATTATGTACATTCAGTTAACATATTATATACTTACAATTAATAAATTATGTACCTATTACAACAAAAATAATTATGTACATACAATTAACATATTATATACTTACAATTAATAAATTATGTACCTATTACAACAAAAATATATTCAATTTATTTATAGGTACATAATATATTAACCAAATGTACATAATATGTTAATTTCAAGTATATAATGTCATTTTGGACCAGCGTCCACCTCGCTGGTGGACCCTGGTCCATGTATAATTTGCCGTAATTAGGGCTTGGGCCATTTTCAATATTAAACTTAGGGGTGATGGCATATTTTTTTGTGGACCATAAATAAAATATATATTTTTAATATAGTAAATGTAAAATATTTATATACTAAATATCGAATAATTGTATAATATACAAAATAATGTAACTTCAATACTTAAATAATGTATATTAAGTATACAAATAATATGCTTATAATATATTAAAAATATACCTTTAATACACAAATAATATATATATATATATATATATATATATATATATATATATATATATATATATATATATATATACAGAGAGAGAGAGAGAGAGAGAGAGAGAGAGAGAGAGAGAGAGAGAGAGAGAGAGAGAGAGAGAGAGAGAGAGAGAGAGAGAGAGAGAGAGAGAGAGAGAGAGGGGAAGGGTTCAGGTGCAGGTATAACTTGTCGTGCAGTTGTGCGGTTAGATATGAGTCGTTGATCAAATTCAGATAACGGCTCAAATCAATGAAAATTAAAAAAAAAAAAACAATAAAAAATGTGTTTCTGGAAGAAAGAAACATAAGCTAAAAATGACGCACCTTAAGTGTTAAAATGGCGCACCTTCAGTTTATAACACGGACACACTCACCTTAAGCATACGAATCACTCACCTTAAACACACAACCCACGCACCTTAAGTACAAACCCCACGCACCTTAACCACAAAATCCATGCACCTTAAGTTTCAATAACTACTCACATTAAGCACACAACCCACACACCTTAAGCACAATCACCACGCACCTTAAGCACAAATCCCACTCACCTTAAGCACAAACCCCACGCACCTTAAGCACAAAACTCACGAACCTTAAGTTTCACCAACTACTCACATTAAGCACAAAACTCACGCACCTTAAGCACAAACCTCACGCACCTTAAATTTGACCTAGATGCAAAAATACCAAATTGCCATCGCAATTTTTTTTATTTTAAAATTTTGGTAATCCTGGACGTTGATATAAGCTAGATTAATGACTCATATTTAACCGCACTTGGGGCTGCCAGCCGCACCAGAACCAATTATATATATATATACATATATATATATATATATATATATATATATATATATATATATATATATATATATATATATATATATATATATATATATATATATACATATATATATATATATATATACATATATATATATATATATATATATATATATATTTTGTTGGGTAATAAGGTGGAAAAAAACTCCAAAATAATAATCCTATGGAAAGATTATTATTATATGGGAAAACAGAAAATCTGGGAAGGAAAATGTGGAATATTTGGGTAAAGGTTAGCACGAGTTTGAACAAATTGTTCTTTTCCTTAAAACCTTATTTGCTACCTCCAACAAGTGCTAGGAGCGTTGTAGCCTAGGTTTCCCAGGATAAAACGTGCTATGATTCTTTGTTTAAGCACCCAAACAAAGAACGCGACAAACAAAGCAAAGTGAGAACACAGTTGGGTAAAGAAGAGAGTAGAAGCAGAGTGTTTGGGAGCTAAAACGTACTGGAATTTCTTAGTTTACCTCTCTTTATATAGGGCTATTGGAGTGATAGCATTCAACATGGCAATTAAATTGGTATTAAAATTAATTGTGTAACACCTGCAACAGCCATGTCCACTAACTAGGATTAAACTTAAATTTAAAATTGGAATTACTAGAAAATTAATTCCGAAACAGTTGAGTTTAATCCCTGAACAGTCACTGCCAGAGAGGATGAAACGTCCTGACCAGAGAACGAATCTGGTTGCAGAACTGGACAGTTTCAGCTTCAAGGCCGAAACTTTGAGCTGTACAGTTTCGGCCTTGAGGCCGAAACTTGTGGTGTTCAGTTTTGGCCTCAAGGCCGAAACTTTCTTCTTCTGTTTTGGCCACAAGGTCGAAACCATGGCTACACTGAATAATTGTACCACAAAATAGCCACTTAATAAGCCATATGCCATTTTAAGCTACTTTTTCCAACAATCCCCCAGATGAATGAAAATTGATTTTCGGGGTATTTTAAAATCGGAAACAACTGTGATCAACGGTCGATCCCTGCATAGGATAGATAGGGTCACACCCTTTGAACCTTCCCTCATGAAGATACATTTACTCTACTGGCTGTACGGTAGAACGCGATGTCTTTGAACCGACTGCCGTTTGCATAGACGATGACATATCTCACACAGGAACCTCCCAACCATGCTTTGTTCTCATGACTGTGCCCATTTTGGTCATGGGTCACCATTCCTGGTTCTACAAGAGTTTGTGAAGAATTGTGCCCATCAATTCTCCTTTGAAGCGAACCTCACTTCTCTCTCACATAGGTGATTCTTTTCCGAGTACCCCGCATACTCACACATGTCAACCGACATTCGAATCACTAAAGCATTTAACATGCTAACCTTGTGCGGTAGCCCCTGTTTATAACGAGGAGTGGTAGGGAATCCGAGATCCCTACAGTGACACACTCC